TGTCAAGCCATTGTGCTTTTATGAGTTCTGTCCTTTCAAGAGATTGAAGGTCTCATTCACAAATGTAGTTTATTCATGCTGCTTATATTTGTAATACAAGTCTATACGGAAAGTAAAAGAGCAGATGCACATCCTCTGTTCAAGTCTTTAAATGCATGTACTGTCAAATGGACATTTCACTGGCCATACACATGTGGAGATTGGCCAGCAGATTTATTTTAGCATTTTCACTGCAAAATCCCATACAAAAATGGGACAAAGGTGATAGGTGAAAATAATTTGAATATTTGTAACCCCCCCCCCCCCACAGTAATATTCCTTACCTATGTACACAATGCACTGCTTGTATTATTAATTTTTTTATGCCATCCACATGACCCAAGAGAAAAACAACTTCTGCTCAATTGAATGACTGATGTGTCTGTGCTCAAAATGTAAATTTTTATTTAATCAGCATATGCTCAATTGGGAAAAAGCTGCTATGACTGGGCTGTAAAATATTATAGAAATCTGTGATAGGTAACAAATTAGACAATTTGTACTCCATCCATGTCTATTATTGAGGAAGGGTGCTTTGAAACGCCTGAATATAATAATAGCTGAGACTATGCTTACCTCCTATCAGTATAATTGCACTGAAAAATAATCTGCAATTTTGCGTGAATTGTAATAACAGCTATTTTTTGGGGAGAGGGTGTTTGGGCATGTTTGTTTCCACAACACTGCTGGACGATTAGGAGCAAATTTCATCTTGCTGTGTATATATTGTCTTGGAGGAAAAATGTTAATACCCTCCTCCCAAGAAGTTCAAAAAAGAAAACAATACAAGCTTCCGAGATTACAAATTGGTCATCCCCTAACAATAACTCTATCGTCTCGGGGAAATAAACCAATCTGTTTCTAGACTTCAATCCTTGCATTTACGCGTGTTCATGTTCCTATTAATGTATCAGTAGATGACTGCCGCAACATATGACTAGCTCTAAAGAACTTGAGGGAATATTCATCTTTTTCATTTCTTGTGATCCGTTGAGAGCGAAAATTGAGTTTCAATCTTTGTAATTCTTTTTTTATATGTACGTGTATATTTGTGTGTTGTTAAGGAGGGATTCCTCTTTGTTGCCAAGGAGTGACTAATGTCACATACTTACAATAGTTTACATGTATACCTGGTGTCTGCTACATTTTATTTAATGTCATTCTCATAAAAAAAATCATGATTAAAATCCTCAAATAGTTAACAAGTTTTGCTTGTCTCATATGAGTGAGTGTGCGTCATTGTCAACCGCATCCGCATCAATCGATTACGTTTTCGACGACTTCTTCAGATTTGTTCATTTTGTGATTGATATCTTTGTCTAATTTTGGTCAATATTTTTGTAATTGTTGGTAAAAAGTGATATTTTCAAAAAGTGAGATTTGTCAATTTTGTGATGATGTATTCTATTCTCTAATTGAAATTGTGCATTGTTAACAGCAGTGCTAACTCAGCTGAGAGGCTGCTTGTTTTTTTTAAATGATTTCCTGTGCAGTTAGGTTATCAAACTGTTTACTGATAGTGCTGTTAAGAGAAACCACTATCTCTCTTGCAACATTTCTAGGAGCATTGCCTGCGATTGGTGTTATTTTTGTTGATTGGATGATTTAGTGAAATAAACCTTTTTTTCTGTATTTCACATTGAACTCATCTAAAATCAATAAAAAAAAGAAACAAAAAACCTAAAAACTCTTTTCAGCAAAAATTAAGTATTTTAAAGTACTATAAATACAAGAAATCCAAATGGAGTGTCTTCTTAGTTCGCAATGAGATGGTGCTTTGGAAGTGGCACACATATACCCAACCTTTAATGACAACATTTACATAACACCAGCCCTTTCTAAACTGAAATGAACAAACTGGATATTATATTTATCATATTCAAATCATTGAGAAGTGGATGTTCAGAATACCTTGAAGTGAAAACATAGACTTTAATTTATGTCATTCTAAAATATTCTAGCAACCACGAACTCGGAACTTTATCATCTATTTAGCGGTGTACCATTATTGTCTATATGTTCCCAGACTACAGCTCTAAAACAATGGGTTCATTTGATAGCATCTACCGATAATATGCATCAATATATGTCAATTGCAGGGGAAGACTTAGCCAGTCAGGACAAGAGCAATCTGATTTAATCAGGAGTTGGATTATTTAACCAATCACCGATGTACATATCTTGGTCGCATTCACCAGCATATCCTGATTGGACAACACAATTGGTTCAACTGAGAAGTAATCAAACCATCTTGGTGTATTGCTTATACAATTAAATTTTCGGAACATTGTTACACTGGCAAACCTGCCCCTAGAGTTCCACAGGGAAAAAGTAGTAACTAATTGGTTAGGGCACCCTCTACAGTTGTATAAATGCACTGGTTTACGACATAAAAGTTCCCGACACTGTAATTCCTGTCCAAACCGATAAAGCTCAAAGTCAAGTTTCTAAAGACAGCCACAGAAATGATATAGTTCAGCATGTGGTTGGGTTAATCATTACAATATTATAAAATATTTAAAATACACAAAATAATTGCATGATTCTTTTGTCTCCCCCCAAGAATATATTAAAATTATTACTGCAAATATTCACTGATTTGTCAACAGGTTAGGCCATATGATAAGGCATGTTTACAGTCGAAAATACAGTGCCTCTGGTTCTGTATAGTCTTGCAAGTACTTTTAGAGAGCTATAGGCCCAAAATAGTCCCTCAATTATTTGGCTTTTGTGACCAATCACTTATACTGACAATTGCCAACATTCTTACAATCTCTATACACATTCTGACTCTTCGCAAGTAGAATACGCTTCTAAGAAAAGCATTTACGGGTAAAAGACATTTCTGCATACTCAATTAGTAAACAAATGACCAAATTCTTGAGCAAGTGTGTGAGGTTTGAGCCACTTCATGCCACTGCTCTGCATACTAAAGAATCCCAACAATAAAAGACTACACTGAATGTAGATGTGGGAAAAAATCAAAAGAAAGGTTATTAAATTACAAGTTTTTAATATTAAGTAGCAGAGAGAGAGTAGAAGTGTAGAGGATACTTCACTTAATTTTCGCTACGATGGAAATTGGCCAAATTTAAATCCAGCAGAAATATTTTTTCAATTGTTATTGACTTTATAACAATTCAATGAGTATCAATTACTTTAAAGGGGCACCTTCCAGTTAAGCCTTATCTCACAACAAATTTACTTTCTGGATTAAAATAACAATGGATAACAAAAGATAGATTAACGTTGTAAACAACATAAACAATAGTGTCCCATGATTCTTCGGTGCAATCCATGGGATTGAGCGGTTCCCCTTTAAGCGAAAAAGAGGTTA